AGCAACATCACTTCCCCTCCCCAATAAAAAAACTATTGATCGTGGGGATTTTCGTGTTTAATTCTCACAAACATTACTACGGACAAAATACCCTCATGTCATATCATCAAGTTTATGCGAGACATTAATATTTATTTTATTTTATTTTAAACAAAATTTATTATTTCAATAAATAATTCTGCAGCAAAATGTTTTTTTTTTCATTTTTAAATTTTACTATGTATTTATATAGCTTTTTTATGTGGGGTACATGGAGAAGTTTTGACTAAAGAAAAGGATCCATGGGTTACAAAATTTTGGGAACTACTGATTTAAAATTTAAATTTTTTTACTAAAAATTTTAGGTTATTTAATTTTTATACTTTTGGGTACATTTAAAATTATTTTTGCTCATAACTAATGATTCCTTATTTTTCAGGTATGGCAGCGATGATTAGCACCCAAACAATTGGCAGAAACTTCATCTGTTGTGGCATTGCGGGAGGGAGGTGGGCCGAGAAACAATTCAACAGCTACAACAGCATATCCGCACCACACTGAAAATGAGAATTACAAATAATGTTAACAAGAGCATTTAAGAGTAACATAAGAAGCGTACCAGGACTTGACCTCAAATATGAAGTTATGAATATAAGAATCTGGGCAATCGGTTACTCTCATTGAGATGTCTTTACTACGGAGAAGAAGAACGGAGTCATGTAAAGAAACGAAAAAGGGAAGAACTTTTACTGAGGAGAGAGAGACAAATGATGTTTACAACATGATTGTTGGAGTTGAATCAAAATCAATATTTAGTTCTCATTATCGATTAATACTCATTATCGTCATTTGCACCAAAATCGATTCTTTCAGATATGAAATGAAATGAAATGTAACAAATATATCAAATATACACTGGAGCAAATCCTTCAAGTTCCTCTTCAAAGCATCATTGAATGTTGTGGCAATGTCTGTATCAACCATTATATGCTTCCGCATTGGAGAGATCTTTTTAGTCTAGTGGTTATGTTATGTGGCTGCGGACCCGAGCGTTGCGAGTTCTGTCTTCGAATAAGTACCCCACAAAGTAGTTAGAAATTTGATATTACAGCCTATTTTACTGCTGAGAGTTTTGAATTCATCAACATATTACGAAAGAAATGTGATTAAAACATCCAAAAATCAATTATAAAAAAAAAAGAATAGCGATTCTCTTTTAGTGCCTTAGTTTTAAATTCTGGCTTAGAGAAAAGTGAACGATTGAAACCTGGACACAACAAAGAATCATTCTGCGTACCTGAATAAAAAAAAGAGATAATCACAATATGTTTGAAATAACAAAATTATGACTTTGACTCCAGTTTTTGTTTTTAGAATACGCAGAATACCGCTGCATTGCGTGTTATTTCTATAAAAAAGCAAACAAAGAATAAACAGAAATGCATTTCAATACTGCAATAAAGAATGTCTGGTATTGTATTGTAAAGGACAATGAAAATATGTTGCGGTATTTTGCACCTTCGAACATCGAATCAGTTAAGTGAAAAAGAAAAAAAAATGAAGGCAATCAAATTATTAAAGAACTATTTTTAGTTTAATGAATGGTCATCTGTTTTGTAAAGATTTTGTTCAATGGAGTAAATCATAATTATGAATAATGTTCAAGTATACTCGATTCCCAACTCCTTACAGTGTTGCTCCACACGTTCATGATTCTTTTGATAAATATATATGTTTTCTAAAAACTGAATTACAACAGGAAGTCTGCAATTGAACATCATTATTTGCATCTACAGCCTTCAACAGACACAGAACAGAAATGAAAACTCAGAGAATAAATTAATGTTTTAAAAGAAGCTTACACACATTCATAAAATAAGAGAATTCAACACAATTCCAATGAATTGATTGTGTTAAAATGTATTTAAAATAAAATTAAAAAATAAACATTTGATACATTTTTATGTTTTAAATATTTTTACTCAAAAGTGGCGTTAACATCATATAGGAAACATTAGCTTTTACTTTTGTATTTTTGTGACTTCAAAGTTATCTTTTTCCATATTAATATACTTTAAAAATATTTTAAGCAATTTTTATATTTTTACATTGAGCAACATTATTTATTATAATTTTTTATTAGATGTGGCAAAAATAATATGTTAAAATAATAATATTTTACACCGAGAAAACTGCAGAAAACTTTCTCTTCAATGAATACAAATAATGATGCAATATTAAAATGGTTCTATGCATTCTTTTTTCGCAGTTCATCTTTTTATAAAAAAAATTGGAAACACGAGTATATAACTAGTAGTTTAAACACTAGTAATATATACATGTTGTTCAAATTTTCAATCTGTTATAAAATCCTTTCCTGTATTCTATTCAAGTATAAATATATTTTTTAAGCTTGTAATGGATGACACTTGATGTTAATACAGTTTTTAAAATATTAATTCATTTATTAAATTAAAAAAAATAATAAATAGCAACAAACAAAAATAATAGTCCAACAACATATAGAAAGGAAAGTTGTTTGCTATGTCCCTGTATCGCAATGGATAGCGCGTTCGATTTTTAATCCAGAAGTTGTGGGTTCGAATCCCACCTTCATTGGCCTAATTCCGGAAAATGTGATGTATTTTTTTTACTATACTATTTTTCAAGAATAATTAAATTTAATGAATGAGAAAAACATAAGCAAACAAAATAAAGAGTCCAACACCATACATAGAAAGGAAAATGGAAACCTGCAAGGGAAATCGTTTTCTGTTTTGTCACTTAATTTTGTGATTCTGTCATATGTGTATGCATGTTTATATTAATTGTAACTATTAATTAAAATTAACTAAAATAAAATGTTTCTTTGTGGGCTGAAGTATGAATTGACTTGATATTACTTTTAACTTATTATTTTGATGAGATGTTTCAGAATATTTTTGTATAAGTTAATATATATATGTATATTTGTGATTTTCAGTTTTCTTCGAATTTTACTTTAAATGCAAATCTTTTTAATTGTATTAAAGTACTAAAAATATTAATTTTTGCTGAAAGTGTAATATTATAGTTAAGTATAAGATAATTTACGGTTGTTTAACTTTAGTTTTCATATTTTTATTTTGTACTTGTCTAGTTTTCTCAAGTTTTGTAGTGAACTTTGAATATGGAACAAGATCTTTCTTTTTTCGCAAACTTCTTTCTAATGATCTGTGTTTTCAATAATTAAATTTATGATTAAAATGCATAGATTTCCCTGAGGCCGAGATGTGTGCAATTTGGAGCTGAGTTGTGTAATTTTCTGAGGTCTCTTCTAGATGACTTAATATTTTGAGGAATTGGTATGTTGTAGGGAAGAAAAGGTTCATTTAAATAATATTTATTATTAGTGTTATCAATTTCTTTAAGTGTTAAAAAATATAGCAAATTTTTTGAAGTGATAATTTTGAGTTAAACTTTTTGTTTGCATGCAGGTTAAGACTGTTCATTAAAATCTTTAGAAATGTGAGAAAATGAAGTCTAAATAACGTAATTTCTCGCGTAACATTTTTGAGTCTATATGGGTGTTGCGCCTAGTTGCATGGACAGCAAAACGTTAAAAACGAATCAAATGCATCGCTTCTTGTATTCATTGGAATTGAAACCCTTTGGCCGGTTGAACTGGACTAGATAGTCTTTTCTACAGTTCAGTCTATTATCCGCCCTCAGCTGATGTTGATGCAGCTTGTTACTTTTTTGTTAGTTTTTCGAATCTTGATTTTCATGGCGATACACGTACCATTTTTGTTGCTGTCCTTGACCTTGTCCAAGCTCCATTTCGTGCCTTTGATGCTGCCACTTTTTTTAGCGTGGTAATATTTTCTGACGATGTCAGCATAGTAGTATCCATTAGTATCCATCCATGGTTCAACATTTTTTTCGTAAATGCAGGTTGCAGAACAAGTTTAATTTCAAGGAGCAACGAAGACAATATTTCCAAACAAGATGTGGATGTATCAACCACATATTTGATACATCAGAGATGTTGATGTCTGTAATGTTGACACCTCTTTAAGTTCCACCATTGCCATGGGTCTGTTTGCCAGCTTAATTTCCAGCGCAAATACCTAAATATATTTTCGTCTTGTATTAACCTGAAAGAAATCGTCTTTGTTAAAAAATTTGGATAATTTATTTTCAATGAAATGTGATGTAAAACACACATATATATATATGCTGCTTAAAAAACGTTTTCTAACCATAAGCATACATTAAAAAGTTAGTAAAATGCTTGCAAGAAAATAATGGGCCATAACATGCAAAAATTAAATGGTTCCATCCCGAACATTAGACTCACCGATAAAAAAAAATTTACTGCATAATATGCTAGTGAAACACATAAACATACTTTTATGATCAATATGTTTCCACTGAAGCCCCACCGTGTAGAGTTACTGATGCACTTTAAATCTATCAGGGATCAAACGTACTCTCTTTGGTTTGGAGTGGAAGTTAGGAGAGTGTAGGTGTTGCAGATCAGGTGTCAGCCTCGTCACATGACCATGGTTAAAATTTACGAGGACCATCACCAATAGTCAATGCATAGCTGAATAGGACGACGTCACTATTCACTCACTCACTTACTATTCATGATCGATGGCAAAAATTCATTGTATTTATATTTGTGAAAATCATGATGTCTGTTTTGAAAGATTCAACATTATATTAGACGTATTAATGACAGCAGCTTCGATAGACAGGATTATTACAGTATTTTTTACAGTTAATGAAAATAAATTCTAACACTTGATGCTAATTCTACCCGTATTATAAAATCATCCTTCTCAGTGTTTTTCAAAAGAAATGGAAACACTGACTGTAATAATTAGTAAAAATATGATGAATTATAGGAAATAATGATTAAGAATACTATATTTACTTTAATGAAAGACTTAAAGCACAAAATTTTCAATAGTTAGAAATATTATTTACTGCAGCATTTCTCAAACTGTGGGGAGGACTCCCTAGGAATGCTTTATAATTCCGCGAGGTAGGCGCGAGCATATTGAATAGTCTAAGATAAAAGGTTATTTTAAAAAAGTATTACTTTACTGAATGTAATCAAACAAAATACATTTTGACATAATAAAAAAATAAAATGTACATTTTACACTGATATAATACACTTATAAATGTATCAGTAATGCACAATACATTTTATAATTAATACATAACTATACTAAGTTAAGAACAATAATTACAAGTTGATCAGCTGCTATTACCAAGGAAAAGTATAATGATTACCAGTCCATTCCCATGGGCTTGTAATATATAAAATTACATTCAAAAATTAACACTTATCTTGATAATTTGTACGGTTTATAGTTAGTCTCTTAACTGTCGATTCAATCCCGAGTGCCACCGTTTCCCACGTAGGCAAGCGTATATGATGTATTGGGGGGATGGAAGAAAAGGAATACATAAGCAAATCCCCTGAAATATGTAAATTCTTCGCAAACACTGTCAAGTTTCTTTCATTGCATTCCAAAGCCTTCAGAATAATTTTACGGATGCATTAGAAAATATTGTACTTGGAAAAATGTGTATATACGTCCGGGGAAATTAACTCTGCTTTGAGTGGGACGTTTATATACGTAGGTGGGATTTAAGAGGATAATGTCGCATTGTAGCTTTAGCGTTAAAGTATAGCATTATTGAATTCAAAACATTGTTAATGTATGGACGGGTGGTGAAGAAAGTTATAATGAGTATTAGGTTTACAGCTAATATTTGGAAAATGATTGCAAAAATACTGTACGTTGACATAACTACTCAGAAATACAACGATCGCATACATAAGTGGGACATTGATCGGTAACATTTTCACAAAAATAATAATAATGTAAAATGTATGTTACAAATTTTATTCGCGATCAAAAAAACTTCTACATTATACAATAACTACAAAGAAAAATAAAAATTGAAACATTTCTTTACGCAATTGTCTTTACCATATGTAACTCTAATCCCTCAACTAACAAGTACCTGGGGACAGTTTAGTCCAATAGCAAGCATGAGAGAAGTAGAAAAAATATTTCGCTTTTTCTAAATGCTCCCCTAAGTCAAATCCCTAGATGTTTGTCTTAGATCGCTCAGTATTCTATCGCAGAAAATCTCTATTGTAACTTTTCCCTTTTTGCGCAAGCAAATTCCTTTAATAGTAAACAGAGATAAAAAAATTAAAAAGGAGAGAGGTTTTTAAAAGTATTATATGATTTTCTAAAATCTCTCAATTATAGAATGAGTTTGAGTTTATTTAATGACAAAAGGATTATGGTATGAATTCAGTAATGAAAGGATTAAATAACCTTTGAATTTTATTTATGTGCAGACAGCCAAACTTGAATCTGAATGTAAGGAGAGTTAACAAAAGAAAAATTTTTCGAAGACATGTGAGTGAAATGTTTTTTTAATTGCATAAAAGGTTGAAATAATAAACTAAAATATAATTGAGGCTTTTAACATAAAGTATGTCTGAAAAAACATGTCCAGAATATGTCATTGAATTACTTTGCTACATACTATTCAATTACATCACGATTTATTACGTGATTTAAATAAATTGAGACAAATTTTGAATTTTAAAACAGAACATAAATAAAATACATTTTAGGAACGATATCGTGCAGAATCAAAAATTGTGCATATTTAACACATTTTTGGATAGACAATGCATTTATTTATAGCAGTGTAATGAAATGATAAAATGCTGTTATTTTTTATCGTAACAGTTTTCAATTAAGAAATGCGACTTCAAAGGATAAAAATTATTTTTAAGAAACAAAACAATTAAGTAAGGTTCTTAGTTTATCTTTTAATTAGCTTCTAATATATTTATGTATATTTGGTTTATCGTAATAACACCATGGAATTTCTGTAAAATTTACTATATGCCTGTGACGGGTCTATCCGCGTCAATCTTTCTTTAACCCTCTTGGGTAACTTTGGGGCCAGCAATTATTCTATTTCACAGCCTCCTCGGGAAAAACACGAGATAGTGATATGCTAATGAATTCAACTATATAAAGTCTAGATTTAGTAAGAAGGAATTGCCAAAACCGTAGTAAGTATAAACTCCGGATCTCTCCAGCGAGCTTAGCACGTATTAGTTAGTAATTGATATTGTTAATCATTGAAATAATCAAAGGGATTATTGTTAGTATCGACCTGAAGTTAGCCACGTTCGTCTCCTTTGTCAATTCTGATAGTTGAGATTATTTAGTGGGAATATTGGATTTAAAGGTTAGAATTGAATGTTAGAGTTGTGTATCAGCATTAATCTGGGGAATTGAATAATCACTCCAAGGTTTCTACTTATAGAGTAACTTGTTAATTGTATTTGTGTGTTGTAAATAAATATTTGTAATTATGGCTTTCGTTGGTGATATGTTTCCTTCCATGTCGGGCAATGTGAACCCAGTCCAAGATAGGATAGGGTCACGACAATGGCACCCAACTAGTTTGTCCTCCGGACATTTCTCCATTAACCCCGAGATGGGAGTCGGATCCAATTTTAGGCTCTTGCCTGATATTTTTTTTCTGGTGTTGAAAATATTGATGATTTCCTCGAATAT